CCTCTAGCTAAAATTGTTTAATATTTCGAATTTAAACTTGACAATTTAAATGTTTGTAAGCTTCAAATTCAAATTTTAATCAAAAACAAACACATCATTCAATTCTTATCAGCCTAATTATAGAAGCTTCTAATTTAGCAATAATATTCGCTTCTTTTTAATCAAAAGAAACAATGCTGAATTGGTTAGTTGGTTTTTGATTTATTATCATCCGTCATAATTACCATATGTTGCTTTCTCCTAGCATTTGCATAAATTGTTGCAGCAACAATTGCAATCAATCCACCGATACCTATTACCGTAAGTGCTTGACTATCATCCTGAAATATTTGAAATATAAGTGAGTCCACCGATACCTATTACCGTAAGTGCTTGACTATCATCCTGAAATACTTTGAAATATAGGTGAAAAAACAAATGGGAAGAACGGAACTAAATTAGCAAATTAGCAAAAAAAAAAAATCCGTTTACTATTTTCTATACTTTGATAAAACAAAATACCAAATAGGTAATGTATATCGAAAAAACAAATTTCCATTGATAAATACTACCAACCAAATTTGTCAACGAATCTTGAATATTTACCCAAAATTTTCACATTGTATATGTTGTAACTGATTTTGTGGGTAAAAATGAGAAATTGATGAAATCAAACAGATGACAAATTATGTGACAAATTATATGATTGATAAATCGAATAAATCGAAAATTAAAATTTTGATAAATCGATAAATCTATATGACATATATACAGATTGCATGATAATAAAAATGATATGATAAATTGAATTCAAATTGGAGAATGCTGAAGTGAAAAATAGGAAAAGCATACCAAAATTTCTGCAATTCGTTCTTTAACATGTTCATAAAAGTTTTCAAGTGCTGTTGGTGGTTCCGGTACGTGATAACCACGTAAATCTTTGAATTTATACATTGCAAATGCTGTTAAACTTCGAATATTTTTTGCTGCATCTTTATAACGGTACATTTTCCCACGATGAAAACTATAAATTTTTACAATCTTGAAATGATTAAAATTTAAAATAATTATTTTATATGTTAATTAATAGCAAAAAAATCAAATTAAAATTGAAAATTAAAAGCTATTTTGGAAATTTGAATTACTTTTTATTTTAAAATATTAAAATTTAGAAACTTAAAAATTCAAAAAATTTTTCACCCATTTATTACCTATAATATTTGTAATACTTACAGAAGATACACTGGACATTGGGCATCATCTAAACGAAAACGATTTGTAACATCATCATTGATCGACATATCCACTTTGCCAACATTTACTAAGCCGCGTAGTCTAAAAATGAAATCTTTTATTAATTAAAAATTATCCTTTCATTAATTAAATATTACCCTTAAATCTTTTTTTTCTCAAATCTTTAAAATTTGATAAGAAAAAAAAATACTTACTTATGTGCCACAGCTTCCCACGATGAAACAAATGCATTACAATCCGCTTCTTCTGATTTATAACTATAAGCATTTTTTTTTTTTAAAAAAAACTATCCAATTTAAGTTTTGAAAACTTTAAAATAATTTATAATCAATTAAATTTCATAATTAAAAATATCTTCCTCTGAACATTTAAATGTTATACAATTAAATTTTTTTTTTAATTATTATTTCAATCAAAATATCAAATAAAATATGTAATAACTTACAACATGACAAACCAATCCAGTGTACCTTCATCAGGTGAATAACTATCCGTATAATCTTCAAAGTTATCATCTGTAAGAATCCATGTAACCACTTCTTCATGTGATCGTAACCATCGTAATATTTCATTTGAATCCTTGAAATCACCTAAGAGAACAAAATGTACCTTGAAATAGTTAAAATTTTATTCCAAAATTTAAAAAATTTAACAGGAATAATTAGTTCATTTTAATTAGCTTAAGGTAGAAAAATACATTCAGCTAATTAATTAGATCATTTTTTAAACAGTTTTTATTAAAAAAAACAAAAAATGTATACATGCACCAACCATCATATGTGATCGGATTTTTTCGTCTAAAATAAACCAGAGCTGGAAATGTTGCAACACCAAGTTCACGAGCAACACTTCGATCATCCGTTTTAACCACCTTCAAATATAATTTACAAAATTAATAATTTCACATTAAAATATTTCAATGATTAAATTAATTTATTTCTATTTTTAAAGGAAAATATTATTATCATTAAAAAAAAAATTAAATATGCATACTTTTCCATGATAAATATATTTCATCAATTTATACATTCATAGTTTTCTTTTTTCTATGATTCCAAATTTGAATATCAAAATTTTATGGGAAAAAAATTAAATTATCAAATTTTACACGCAATTAATTGGAAATTTAAATATTTCTGATGAGAGAAAAAAAAATTTAATAGGAAATTTTAAGCAATATGATAATAATTTTTTTTGTTAGAGAATGAAAAAACTTTGACTAATTTTTTGTTTTATTCTGGAAAAAAAGAAAAAAAAAAGGAAAAGAATCCGAAAGAAACTTCAATATATCCGGTTGCTTCAATATCATCATCAATTTCTTCTACTTTTGCAAGTGCTTCACCACAATTTGGACATTTCGCATATCCATCATCTACAATACAGTAAGCATATAATTTTCTTTGTTTATTGATAAAAATTAATTTTTAATTAGAACAAGAAAATTTATTTGTAGTTTATCAGTTAGTTTATCAGTCCTTTTACTATCAAACTGTTCTTTCAAATTTTTTTTTTTTAAAGAAAGAAAATTAGAAAACTAATCGAAAATTGTTGTTATCATTATTATCATTAATCATTATCATTGTAAAAATGAATTTGTTATCGTAATTGTTGTAATGATTTCATTAATTCATTGCTATTATAATTATTCATTTTATAGATGAAAAATAGAAACAATTGTTATATTAACGGTTTTTTTCTTATTTTTTATTTACAATAAAACATTTATTTTATTCATTTATTTATTTATTTGCTTGTTTGTTTGTTTATTTGTATATTTATTTGTTTATTTACTTTATTTATTTGTTTATTCCTTTGTTCATTTGTTTATTATTTATTCAATTTATTTATTATTATCATTTATATTCTATTGTTATTAAAATAAATGTGGAAATTTTTTGTATTTAATTTAATTTTGGAGATAAAAGATAATGAAAAAAGTAGAAACTAACAAAAGAAGATGACAAGATTTTTTGTTGCATCACGGATAATTTCATCAATTTTATCCTCATCAACATCTTCAATCGTATTATCTTCATCTTGCGTAACATCTTGACGTGATAATGCTATCCGACGTGTTTCCGCCTGTAAATATAAAATAAATATTTGTTATATGTATAATGGAAAATGATAAATATGCAATTAATAATTGAATTTTTAATTTTATTAATTATTTATAATTGTATCATTTAAATACTATCAATGAAAAAGAAAATTGTCAATTAGTAATTTTGATGAAAAATTGTCAACCATTTGAATATTTAATGATAATTTTGCTGCAAATTATTACACATCTTTCGTAAAATCTAGCATTTGAACAAAATTTTATTTATTTATTTATTACTTAATATTATTCATTTTTAATTTAATGAAACAATTACAACAATTTTTTTTTCTGACCGAAATAAATTAAATTAAAATGATTAAGTAATGAAATCTTTTTTTCAAAAATAATGCAATAAGTTTTTTTCTTTTTTTTGTTAAAATGTTGATAGTAATAAAAAGAAAAAAAATAATAATTTAAACATACCTTATGCTTTGCATTATTATTAACAGAATAAGGATGTCGTTGTTGTTGTTGTTGTTGTTGTCGTTGTTGTCGTTGTTGATGTTGTTGTTGTTGATGTTGTTTTTCTTTGAATATATCATCTGTTTTAGATGATTTACCACCTCTTTTAGCTTCCAATATACATAATGTTGATAATATCAGAATTAATAAAAAAATATAATTCATTGTGATATAAATGTTTGTCTTTTTTTTTAATATGTGATAATACTGATAATAATAATTGATAAATAACAATAATAGTAATGAATCAATTTATGAATAGTAGTAGTAGTATATAGAAGAATAGAATAGAAATTTGATAGTATCAAATATACACATACATACACAAATAGATTTATCCATTGATCATAAATGTGATAGGAATAAATCGAACGGACGGAAAAGAATTCTAGAAAAAAAAGTTTGAAATAACATTTTAAATCGTATTATATTTAGCAAAAGATATCTTTGGAAAATGAAGCAAGTTAATGATAAGTATGTGTGTGTGTATGTGTGTGTGTGTGTGTGTGTGTTGTGCATGTGTCTGTTTGTCTGTGTGTATGTGTACGTATTATATGTGTATGTGTGTGTGTGTGTCTGTGTATGTATGTGTGGGTGTGTGTATGTGGATATGTGCTGTTATTTGTTATATATATCTTTTTCACGGTGATAAATTACAGAAGAGGAGAAAGGAGGAAAAAAGTTTGATGATAAGGATGGAAGGAAAAGTTCAATGTTTGTTATCGGTATATGATAGGGAGAGGTAGATAGATATTGATAGATAGATGGATAGATAGATAGATAGATAGACAGATATTGATAGATATTGATAGATAGATAGATAGATAGATAGATAGATAGATAGATAGATAGATAGATAGATAGATAGATATTGATAGATAGATAGATAG